TGAAAATGACAGAGAAACTGAACACCTTGCAAAATGATAATGCTGCTACATTGAAGCTTATCTTTTAGAACATTTGCGTGTCTCGTGTTAAAAGCTTTATATCTCTACAGAAAGCATTGTGCTGAAATTCCTCTTAAAAATAATGGTCTGATATTCAAATGTGCCACATTCAATGAAAGGAGCTAATGTCAAAAGGTCATACCCAATAAACAATTCAGATACTCAAACCATGATGATACAACTCCTATTAGATGGATGGTGTCCTATTAAATGCAGAAGGAAATTTAAGTAAGTCAGATAGATATCCAAATAATCCGCAAGGAAAGCATAAAAGGTAATAAGGTAACAGAAATACATTAAAATAAATATGAAGAGAAGGAAAGTATCACTGAGAATGTGTAAAAACTTGAAGTACTCAGTGTTTTCTTCCTATCAATCTTCATCAAAATATTCAGAGAGATCACCTTTTCAACAGTACACATTTCAACAAAAACAAATAAGTAGAGATAAGAGTAAGGAAAAAGATGCTTAAAGAATTTTGAAATTAAAGTCAGCCGAACTTGCTGATGTTTGTGTATGCTCAATGACTTAAAGAAAAAAATTTCTACACTATTTGTGATTGGTTCTCCAAGAACTTATGGAAAACAAGGAAGTTAGTGGCAGACTCAAGAAAGGAAAACATGTCCTCTACATCTAAATAGAATAGCAAAGTTCCTTTAACTTTCATTTTCAGAAATAATCTGTGACAAGTTATCAAAAAGTTGAAAAAGAATGTGAACAAAAATTGCAAAAAATAAACCTTGTCAGATCAGTCTGATTTTCATTTCTTATTTTTATTTCTTTGCGTAAAAATGGGAAGAAGGTATGAGGCATCTTCTTTTCACGTTTCAGCACTCCCTTATAGGAAATTCTTAGAAATGGGATGGAAAAATGGCATCTAGGTGGAGTTGCTGTCAGGCAGTTACTGAAAATAATCACTCTCAAAGGATACCCTGAGTGGTTTGCTCCTGAATTACAAGTGTACATCTGAGGGGTCTGTAACAAAATAAGCTCAATTCAACAAATTAATTAATAACTGGAGACTTATTGCTAAATAGCAAAATTCATTAATGCCAAAAGGTCCTTAGTCAAAGAGAGCTTAAGAAGACTTTGAGTTAGATTTCTGAATGAACTTTTTGTACTGAAGTAGTCAGTCTGAAACGCGCTGTGCTTCTGTTAGGGCTAAGAAATCAGATGCACTTTTAAAATAGGGAATAAGACTGTAGAGGATAAATTTGGAGTCTAAGCCAACTATGAGTCACAAATCTGATGTGCTACAAAAATGCAAAAATCTCATTATTAACCAGAATGCCTCTCCCACATGGGAAGAATTTTATCATTTTGATCACTTCTGCCTACCCCCAGCTTAGTAGTAACTCCAGTCTGGGGATTATGTATGAACTTGGAAGTACCCAAAGGAGAATTACCTTAAAAAGATCATGTGTGGCATGGGGATAAAACTGTGGGAGCCAGCTTTTGATCCTGAAAGGAGAGCAATGAGGGTTCACTGTGAGACAGACTTTCTAGACCTGCTCACCCTCATCTTAGCCTTACCTCTGTCCTCACCTTGGTATATCCAAGCTCCTCTTCAATAATCACTGGATCTTGAAAAGGCAAAAATATCCCCAGAACAATATTTTATGTCTGTTTCTCTTCCAAATGAGTGATCTACACCAGCAGCATCTGTAAAGAATCATGAGAAAAAGATTTGTTTTATGACAAGCTTTTTGCTTTCTGAGCAGAGTAGAGGAGAAAGCACTTCTTAATGCCTGGACTGAGAGAAAGTACGTGGCATGAAGGCCTTGTACCAAACATCAGAGAATCCATACGGGCAGGGGGAAGAAAGGAGAGGTTATAAATGTTAGCTTCAGAAAAAAGTAAGAATAGGAATTGGTACCTTATTAGATGCACAGGAAACTAGTTCTCAATCAAGATTTTCTTTTTGCCTGAATTCCCCAGATATGAGGAAGTCTAATTGAAGCTCTTCCCAGGGCAAGGCTGTTCATTGCATTTCTCTTCTGTGTTGTTTTTCTTATCTAATTCGAGCTGGACCTGTGCTGCACAGCTGCCGTAATTCAGTTACACATCAGTCAGCCACAAGACACAAATGCAGGGAAAACAATTAACCCTCTGCTCCTGCCTCTATTTATTTTTCCTCTGGTCTCAATCCTTGTAATGGAAATTTCAGAGTACCCAATTTTTGCGAACTTGTTTCTTTACTATCCTTCACTCACATACCGAAGATGCTAGGCTTTTTTTTTCTTTAAGCTTTCCAAGGTTGTTTGTGCATATGATTTTGTATTAAAAAGAGGGACTATCAGATCAGATACTCTCTGCCTCCATAAAAAGCAACCTACTGAAATACAGAAAAGGTTACACCGATACAAAGTAGTTCCTGTACGTTGACCAATGAGAACAGAAGAAAGGCAAACAGCAAGGGAAAATGTGGCATTAACATAACCTTTTTACATATTAAACTGTATTAAAATTTCTTTCCGTCTTTCTGCTCTGGGGTGCAGGACTGTGTGTGCTCTGAACAACATTCACTGTTTCTCATTTTGAAGGCTATTTATCAAGGAGCGATGAAAACAACTCCTTCCTTTGATCTAATCTGGCACTTCTTTTCTCAAAACACGCTAACAAGATCATTCTAAATACCTTCTGCAAAATGTGGTATATCCAGGCAGCACGGCACAAAAAAAGAACTGTTTTCAAACCTTTGGAAAGTGCAGCCTGACTTTCACAGGATTTCTATCAGGATTTTGTTGTTTCATGGCATTGGGAAGCAGGCTCTCTCAAAATGGTGGCATTTTGTCTGCATTTGTCTTTCCCTGTGGGGAGAGTGCTATAAATCTATGTTTAATCTTCGTGTGATGTAAGTGGTAAGAGGGATTTTCTGGTCTTGCTCTGAGCATGTGAAGCAGCTACATCCAACTGGCCCTGCAAAAGTCAGGGTGACACCGGAGACCTTCACGGCCAACCACTGCGTGATCCCAGGAGCACATCTGCTTGTGTCACTGCTGGATGTCAGCAGAAGTATCTAAAAATCCATACTGCGTGCTACATCCATTACTCCTAACAGAGAAAATCATCTAAGAAATAAATTTTCACTGCAAAAAATACAGCCTTTTGGCATCAAATAATCCTGAATTTTTCCTCCACTGCTCAATCTGCAGCAAATTCCAAACATAATAGCAAGGCTCTGAGGTTTTATTTGAATCAATGACTTTTTAGTTAAATAAAGTACTGGAAGAGATTGCATTGCGGTACTCTGGAAGAGTTCTTAAAATAGACTGCAAGTCCTATTGACAAGGTATGAATTCCTATTGAGAAACACTGGCACAGTGCTTTTAGTAGCATTCTTTCTGCCTCTGAACAGAAGTAGGGACTAGACGACTTCTTGACATCCCTTCCAGTTTTCTTTGATGCAAGCCGTCTTGTTGACATTTCATATTATGCAAGTTTATTTGGTAAATAGTGTACTGCAGACTCAGGAAGGAAAGAAAGCCTCTGGAGGATTACACTTTCAGTTGACAGAAATACAATAGCAGCAAAGAAAGCATACAAAACAGAAAGCATTCCAGTGTCCAAGGCCAGCAAAGAGCTGGTTTTGTCAACAGAAGCTTGTAAGAGGAAAAGGAAGCGTTCATCATCCAGAGATATGTACAGTCTCTTTAAAACCCTCTCTTGGATGTACGCAGCATTGTAATTTCAGTGTGTTGGGTGTGCACAGCTCCCCACAGTGAGGAATACACAGATGCAGACCGAGGCAGGTGTGACCCCCCTGAGCAGCTGTGCTCTCATAGCACTGATAAACGAGTTTGCTGAGCCCACCCAGCTCAGACCCTCATGCAGCTCTCGGCAGCCCAGCTCCTGGACTCGCACCTCTACCAACACCAGGATCTCCATCCAGGTGTTCCTTCTAACAGCACATCTGCAATGCAGCTGCAAAACCTCACCTCTGGAGGCTGCAGTGCTGCTCACACGGGGCTGTCACCTTGCCATGCTGCTCACTGGACCATCCCACAGAGTTAGTGTGTGGACGTGGTACTGCACCAAGCTCCAATAGAACTACTACCTGCTCTTTGTGCTGCCTGTCATGCTGACCATGCAAAGTGAGCACTCTGATGCTCAGTGCAGAGGTTTCCTGCACCCAAAGCTGGTTTCTCTGTGAGTGAAGGGCACAACCAGAACAAGGCAAGATCCGAGGTAGTTCAAGGAGGGAGACAGACAGCAGTGCCCTGCTTTGTAGCTAGAGAGATAGAGGCAGAAAAGTACTAAGGAGGCTGAATGACTGCAAAGCATCCAGGAAAGCGGCAACAGAAATCTGTAATCAGAGGTGTGGGGATTGATGATCTGAGCAGACACCCCAGTGAAAACCACCTGTGGGTCACCAGTGCAAATCACACTCCCTGAGAATCCAGCACACGTGCTTGATCTTGGTAGTGGCTGCTGCAGCAACTTGCCTTTCCTTCTTTAGTCTGCAACACTAAATTTGGTGTGAAATCTTGCTGCCAAGGTTTGGATAGTCCAGTGGTAGATCTCAGCGTTTGTACTCTGATGCTTTCTTTTCTCTGTGGAAACATTCAGTTCCATGCAGCAGTGGTGTTCTCAGGCTGGTACAACACCACAAGGTGAACTGTAGCACGGTAACATGCTTCCAGTGGTTCCAACATATCAAGCAGTTCACAAAACCTCTTTCGTATAGAAGGCACAAGACAGGTTACAAACACTTTGCTATGATTTCAGCTGCAGATGAGCAGCATTTGATACATCCCATTCAGAATCCATCTTGGAGGTTTTTTAATCTGCCAGTGATATCCTTCAGACAGACAGGAACAAATTTGCCTTGATGTGTCTGTCTGTCATTCAAGTAACCTGTGATGCATTGAATATGTCTCTTCCTGAAACGCTCATTTTCCTGCAATTCTGTCTCACTCAGTGTTCTTCTTACCTGACAGGTAGGGGATCAAATAATTGAAATCAATGGAGAAAGCACAAGGGACATGACACATGCCAGAGCAATAGAGCTAATCAAGTCTGGTGGCAGGAGAGTACGCCTGTTGTTGAAACGTGGAACAGGACAGGTCCCTGAATATGGTGGGTTTTCATCTTTATGATTTTCTGTGTGCATGAACCTATATAAGTTAATTATACTGCTTTGGTGTTAAGTAGCAGTTGTGAATGAATATATTGTCATGTGCTAAGATATATTAAGTATGGACTTAAATGCTTACCTGAGTACAGATGGACTTGTTCACATTTAAGTGCTTTCTTGGCTCAAGGCCGCACACAGATGTATGTACATCACTGTCCTCTGCTGCCCTCCCAACACTGGCAATGGCTTAGAAGATGTGCATTGGAGGAAGCACTTTGAACCCTTTAGAGGATATCTCTGAGTGTGCTGGGAGTTGCTGATTTGCCTGTAAGCTGTCCTTTCCTCTATTGGTACCTCTCTGCACATTTTCAATCACAGCAGACAGTCTTGTTGCCACATCATTTAGAGGCTCAGATTTAAACTCCAAGCATTAAAAAGAATGTACTTTGACAACCCTACCCTCTGTATTATCTCTGACAGTATACACAGACAATCAAGTAGAAGCCATGTCTGAATAGAAAAGGAAACTGCTGACTGTGATGAGAAAGCAAGATTCATTCTTCTCACGTTTCATTTCTGAGACTTTTTCAAATATTCCGAAGTGCGAGCCATTTAGACACTATAGAAACCTTATTTCATTGCTGAAGTGACAAGAAATAAAAATAAGTTATCCAAAGGTAATTCAAAGACAAAAAGCACTTTTTTAAAAATTGAAATCAGGTCTTAAAGAACAGCATGACCATGTCATATGTTTACATAAGTTCTATGACGTATGCAGCTGGGCCTTAAATATCATAGAAAAATTTTTTTTAAATAAATGTTCCTTTACATCTTTATGCTTGTTCTTCCAAAAGTCCCTTAATTTTTTCTAATATTCTGTTTGAAGTTCCAGAATCATTTCCCATTAGAATCAGTAATTGCAGTAGCACATGAAAATGCAAAGTAATACTTAGGTTTAAATGTAGGTTCAGGTCAGCCTTTGTTATCAACAAAAGCTCATTACCTCAGTTGGAGGCATTAAAGTCAGTTCCACTGAAAGCCAGTGCTTTGCCAGCTCTCAGTCTATGGTAATTGCTCTATTTTCCTCTCTGAACGAGAGCCAATCCTATGGCTCAGGCAACACTTGGGATAGCGCTGGTTGCATTTTTACCAGCTTTCAAGAGGTTCTGGGTCAGAACCTGCTCACCTGGCGATAAAGTTGGTCGGTTGTATATTTTGTGAGTGGGAACAAAGCCAAAATGGCTGTCAGTGATTATGGGAAATTGGTACAAAGATCATTAATAACAATTTTAGCCAACCCCTCCAGGAAGACCTCCAACAGAGATTCAGATCACCTCCAAAACCTTTTTGTAGAGAGAGGTGCATCACTTTTAATGAAAGAATAAATAAGAGTCCACTACTGACTTAGCAATAATAATCCTTCTCAACATGGCAGAGTCATGTTCCAGCCATTCTCAGGTTCCTTGGAAAATGATTTAATTTTCTGGGGGTCATGGGATGCTACTGAGACCAAAGAATCCGTTCCAGACTTGATTATAGTTTGGACTCCTTCTGCCTTTCTTAAGTTCCACCTTCTGGATGGCACTTAAACCTAGGCTTGTGGGAGATCTAAAATGTTCATGCAGTCTTATAGATCTGTACCTTACTACAAAGTCATAAGAAAATATAAATAAATGGGGGGAAAAAAATATTCAGTGTATATCGTATTGTTCTGGGAAAACAAATCCTCCAAAAGATGTAAACGAGCATGAACTTTCCTCTCCTCAAAAGTACCTGTTTGGGAAATATGGATAAACCACTACAGATCTGGGTGCAGTTTGTAGTAATAACGGGACAAAAATTAGATGAATTCACATGTAAGTTTAAATTATTGCTCACCATATGGAATGGCTTAGAGGAAAGGCGATGTAAAAATGCAGATTATTGTGATATATGCTCTAAGGAGCTATTGGCACGAAGGCACATGTTTAATGCTGGAACTTTGTAGGTCATGTTGACAATTGTACTTGATGATCTTAAAAATATTTTCCAACCCAGATGATTCTATGACTCCATAGAAGTTGCTATCAGGAATTGTTGTTTAATGAGAGAGTTAATCATAATCAGCTGCATCACTGTTCCACATGGGAGAGCTAAGCAGCAGTGCTAGAAATCCATGTTTACCTACTGCACGGAAACAGCAGTAAAAGTGTTCAAAAATTACTTTGTAATGTACACATAGCCTACAGAAAGCATCAGAGCAGAGTAATATCTGCATGTCTGCAGTTCTTAATGTGAACATGACACTGGCAGAGAAAACACAGTGTTCAGTCTGCAGGTGAAATGGAAACAAAATAAGCAGCTGCTTTTGAAAAGATCTGATATTTCAGTCCTCCCTAAGTCCTTTCCAAAGCAATAAAAAGTGTTATATGAATAAACAGAAAGTGCACATAAAAATCAACAGCAACTTTTTTGAAAGTTGCAAACAAATAGAAACGATGAGCACCAAAGGGCGCTTCTCAAGAAGGACAGGATTTCAAGGATAAAACAGCATGCTGCAAAGAGCATTTATCAGAGTGCTGATGACAGAAACCTCCAGAAAATAATTTTCCAAATTAAGGAAAACTGGGCACAAATAAGATTGTGACAAGTAAGCACAAGGACAAAGTGGACCTGAAGACATCCAAGTATTTCAAACACAGCAGTTATTTCTTCTTCCCACCAGAATTGCTCTGTTGAGCAGACTAATTGGAGCTTTTTTTTTACTGAAAGAATCACTCTTCTGTTGTTCTTAGCAAGTACATGTCAGAAATCTCTTTTATCACCATCAGTGTCCAGCTCTGCAGCCCCTCAGATGGAAATAGGACTTGGCTGAGCATCAAAATGCAAGGCTGAAGGGTTGACTGGATTGCAGCACTGGTGTGGCACAGATGTCTGGAGAGGAATAGAAACAAAGGAGAAGCATATCAGGATGCTTTCTTGGCTCTTCTCTCTCAGTCTCTGACAAATGAAAGGTCAGGGCTTCCTAAATCAGCTGTAGGCAGGCTGCATTTCAAGCCCTTTCCAAAAGCAGTGGCTTTCAGACCCATGGTGTTAAGAAAGAAGGTTGTCTAGGATAGCTGAAACTAACTAGCTAAAAAATGCCATGTTATTGTCTTCCAGTCTTTAACTTTGTATTTTCTTAGAGCAACGTACTCAATTCTTTTTAAATTTCAGAGCCATTGTTCTGTTAGCACAAAATATGACAGCATGAATTTAAGTATAAGAATTATCAGTGGGAGAATGCTGTTGTGATTGGCATCAGTGAAAGCAGTGTTAAGAAAAAGCCAACACTGATAAGAAAGCGATCTGTGAAAGAGAAAAATGTAATCTGAAAAGCAGAAAGATTTCAGCAAAGAAATGAAGAGCACTCCTGAGAGAGTGTAAATCCGAATGAGACATGTCTGTTTGTGCCACCTGGAAATCCGTGCTTGTAACTGCATCCCAGGAAACTCTGGCTGAGCTGAGGCACTGCATAAACCTAGGGAAAGGAATAAAGTGTGCTATAAAAGCACCATTTGCTTCAAAGCCAACTGCGAATTCTGCAAATTCCAGACATCCCAGAGCACTTCAGAGAGAGGAGGTCCCACGTAGCCAGAAATCCTGTGCTAGTGTCTTCTATCACAAGATACGTGAAGGAGTACAGATATGATAAATGCTCTGAAAGAGAAGCTGATTCACAGCAGAGTACACCAAAAGAAGATTAGAAGATGGATATTTTATCACCCACAATTGCTGAACATGTTTGCTGAGGATAAGGATAGCCGAAGGAACTGGACTTCCAAAGAAGGTGAATTGCCACAGCTCATCCAAACTCAAAGAACAGCAGCATCATGTTTCATGGGAAATAGTTTGCCAGACTCAATCTCCAAAGAATCAAGACCACAGTGAGAAATCATATTATAGTGCAAGTGCTGCTGGGGATCCCAATCCTCAGTGCCCAGGGATTGCTGCAGGAAATGCCAGGTTTCATACCCATCAAGATGCACAACATTCACAAGCCAATGCTGGCACTGTGCACTTCTCAGCCCAGCAATAAATGCAACTTGTTTAAAGCAGCAGGCCAAAATATTTCTCAAAATGTCTGCTTAATTCCCAATTTATGCATCCGTCAAAGTTATTGGCTTCAGCAGGAGCTGCTGCTTACTCACACTGTGGTTGTCTTACTGCAAGCACTTGTATTTTTCCGGCCTTATCCCTATCTATAACACCATCAGAAACACATCTATGTTGCACAGCTGAGCATTGGGATGAAGAGGCATCCCTAAAGGCAAAACGAGGGAAAATTGTTCACAACATCCAAAAATAATAACATTCAAGTGTAAATAAAACTAACAAACCACAGCCTCTCCATCCAACAATGAGCTCTGAAAGAGGCAGGCTAATTCTAATGACAGTTCTGCCCCAGGAAGCTACAGCTTTCTTCAGTAACAACCAGAATTATTCTAAATATCAGTGGAAGAAGATCCCTAGGAAAACCTGTGGTGTTTAAGTCTCGGCAGTGCTGGCAACTTGCTTCTTCGGGCTTACTGCTGCTAGCATTTCCTTTCATTGCATAAATCTACATTAGAATATGTAAGCAATTATAAGAAGTGCTTGAAAGTAATGTATTTTACAATAAAAAAACTGCAATCTGGGCTAAAAGGTGGAGGAGGCTGAGGCGTGATTGACCTCTGAATGGCGATTTGTGGGTGGACTGTATCCCAGCAGCAAGGCACAACATCCACCCCCAGCTTGCTTCCCTGCTGGTGCCAAAAAATAGAAATACTGAATTTCACCCACGAGAAACATTTTAACGAAAGACAAGGAACCAAGGCTTTCACAGCAGGACTTCACTTTCTATCAAGTTTCTATCCATTTTTGTCATTTTTCATTTAGTTCAAGTTGTTTAGCCTGCAGAAAGTTGGAAGTTTAAGGCACTCCAGTCCATTCACATCAATGTTTATGAAAAACGTCCCCTTTCCCTTCTTTGGAAATCTGGGTC